CATTTGAAAACCTCCCACCCACACCCTGATCTTTCCAGCGCTCGAGTACAGAAATTTCAAGGACCATCTTGGCCCCAAGTCCGGGCCATGCCCTTGGGCAGAGTCGGTACAGACCGTCCTTCCGGGGCTCCGGGTCCTCAAGCCTGCCACGCCCCCAGCCCCCTCCTTGGGCCATGCTGCAGGGCCCCGGCTTTTCCTGCTGATTCATGCGTTGGAACTGTGGGGGCGGGGCTTGGAACTTGGAACAAAGTTCAGACATGGAGGGGCCGGCAGACAGCCTGGAATTCATACCAGATGTACCCGGAATGCGCAACCGGAATGCCTGGCATTTGAGAGTCCTGGGGAAGCTGCCCAGCCACCCTGCCCATACCTCCCGCCACTCCTGCATTTGGTCGCCTTGTTTTGTCCTCACTGCCGCAGGACCCTCTGCCGAAGGTCTTCCAAACTTGACACCTCCTCCCTTCCTGACTCTTCCCCTGATGTAGGCCCCCAAATTCTTCTTCCAGCTGGACTGATCACTGAACTCACAATTTGGGACCTCACGTCCAACTTTCTGCCCCTCTCTGGAGAACCCGCAGGCAGGGTGTGTCCTGGCTACTGCCCTCTCCATGCTGAGAAGGGTGGAGGGCCCCCTTGTGTAGCTGCAGTGAAGTGGGTGAACGCAGGCCTGGGTTTCTGGAGTCTTCAGTTCTAAAAGGAGCAGAGGGAGTATATCTAGCGAAGCAAGTGCTCCACACTGACGTCAGCAGCTCCTGCCCACCCAGGGAAGGGCCAGGCAGCCTTCATTGGAAAATTAAGCCTCTGCTGGAGCTAGGCTTTGATGGCTACTGGGACAGGGTCCTTGTGCTCTGCTCTGCTCAGATCTTTCCCTTTTTGTCTCCCTTTTCCTTTTAGGAGCCGGTACCTCCCATGTCCTCACCTGGCTGAGCCGCAGTAGTTCTTCAGTGGCAAGCTTTATGTCCTGACCCAGCTAAAGCTGCCAGTTGAAGAACTGTTGCCCTCTGCCCCTGGCTTCGAGGAGGAGGAAGAGGAGGAAGAAGATAAGGAGCTGCCTTTCCCTCATCTGGAAGGTGATAGAACTGGGGGTGGGAAAGTCTGAACAGTGTGGGTGATGATGCCTATTGAGAAAGGGGAGCCTGTTTAGTTGGTTTATTTGGACGGAAGGGGAAAGGCTATACCTGGTGGTGTTTGGGGAACAGATGGTGCTAGGAATCAAACCTGGGGGTCTCACATTGCAAAGCCCTTTGGGCCATCTCCCAACCCCAAGCCATGTTCAACTAGAAAGCCTCTACTCAGATTTTCCCTGAAGGACAGCAGTTTTATATTAGAGACTTTGGCTGAATTGGGGAGTAGATGATTCTAACAACCCAAAGTTTATTAGTCTGTGTAAGTAGGCAAAAAGGGATCATGGCAAATTCTGTCTACTCGCTTTATGTAGGGTTGTTTTGTTTTGCTTTTGGTTTTTTGTCACACCTGGCAATGCTCAGGGGTTACTCCTGGATCTGTGCTCAGGAATTACTCCTTGCGGTGCTTAGGGGACTATATGGGTTGCTGGGGATCGAACCCAGGTCAGCCGAGGCAAGTGTCCTACGTGTTATACCATTTCTCCAGCTCCCTGTAGATTCTTTTATGACCATCGTTCCTGACTCCCCATTCTTTCCTTGACCTTTCTAGGTGAGGTCCTCGTTAGGGAACTCCAATCTGAGTAGTCTGTTCTGCCTCTCCTATATTTCCTTTGACTGGCCCAGCCTGATGCACAGGGAGACTGTGAGGACCCTTTAGATCTCCTGCCTCAGCTTCTCTGCCTAAGAAATGTGGAATCATCCAATCGAGTACACAAGAGGGAGTCAAAGTCCACTGGTGCAGACTCAGCCTGGGCTCTCCTGCTGTGGGTGGGCACGTGACAGCTTTCTCATAGGCCGTTGCCCTCACCCCTGGAGCTGGGGGGCAGTGGCATGGTTGGGTAAGAGTTAGGGTTAGATCAAAGCAAGGGGCTAGTAGTTGCATAATCTACACCGTTCTCCCACCATGGGAGGGGGGCCTCAGGCTTCCTCCACTACCCAGGGTAGGACTGCAGCCCCTTGTCACTGTTTCTTCCCTTGCTTCTATTCTAGTCTGTGAGGGCCAGAAATGATCCCTTCCAGCAACCCGCATCATTAGACTTGGGGAAGTCATACCCCCTTCAGGGCATCAAGCAGTGTAAACCTAGTTCCCCCCAGCCTCTGATCCAGCCTCACGGTTGGGCTTGGGTGGTTCTGCCTTGACCTAGTCTCCCTGCCAGAAGTAGCCAAGTTCAGGGGCGACAGGAAGCTATTTATTCCGTTTGTGGAAAGAGGTGTGCAGGGGGCTAGGACTCATACTTCATGTAGGAGTAACAGAGAGTGCAGGGTGGAGGTGAGAAGTAGACCTTTGAACCCTGCCTTTCTGCACCCTAAGTTGGCTGTGTGTGGGACTGCGGATGAGGGGGTGGGTAGACCGAGTATGCTCATAGGCTGCAACAAAGATCACTCTGTCCTTGGACATTGCTTCCGTCCTTTCTCCCCCTCCTTGCTTTACTGGACACAGTGTCTTCCTCCAGCCCTGGGTATGTGACTTTGTCATGGAGCAGAGATGAGGAAGAGCAGCCTGGGGAAACAGAAGCAGGCAGAAGACCAATAAAGGACCAGGCATCCTGCAGAGGGACCCATAAATAAAGGCCAGAAGCACGCCAGCAGGGGAGGACCACCAGCCTCCATCACCACGGACAAGCCTCCAGCCATGTATTTCATTCATCACCACCTTTTCTGGCTCCCTCGGAGCTCTGGGACCCTGCTAAAGTGCCTTGTGACTCCATCCTCCTTCCACCTTTCCCCGACCCTGTCATTTATATATACGCAGCTTCATGGAGCAAGAGCCAGCTGCGAAGGGACAAACACAAGAATTTCCTAGAAGAAAGTCAAATGATTAAAACCATGAAAAATGTTTGTTTCATTACTAATTAAAGGAAGGCAAATAGGATTGAAGGCATTTCCTCATAACAGTAACAGAAAACGAGACCCAGTTATTGGCAAATAATTACTAACAAGTCCATTCACTGCCTATGGGAGGTTTGAATATACCTTTCTTGAGTGTTAATTTGGTAATATGTGTGAAATACCCTAAGTTTTGTATGGCCTTTGGCCTAGGACGTCTACATTTTGGAATATATCTGAAGAAAATAATTAAAGATTTAGTTATAAGATATTCATCTCAGCATTGCAATAGAGACAAATGGAAAGCAACTGTTTAATTAGGAATTCATCTCTTTTCTGCTATAATGGAAATTTGCAATAGGGGATTGCTTAAGTAAATTATTATATATCCAGCCAGATGGTGGAGTACTGCACAGCCATTAAAAGTCCTGCAGAAGAACATTTGACTGGAAAGAAAAATGTTCCTTGAATATTAAAAAGGTTATAAAATAGTATGTATTCTACAATTGCTTTTTAAAAATATGGGTGTATACTTGTCTACATCAAGCATAAAAAAGACTAAGGGCATACTCCAAAATGTTACCAGTAGTTATTATCTTTGAAGGGTGGAAAAAGTGTCATTTTCCTCTTTGGTTTTTCCTTACTATCCAAATGTTCCATATTATGTATGACTTTCATGTAATAAAAAACGTAAATATTCGTGTCATTGAAAGTTTTTTGGAGAGGCGAGTGGAAGGATGAGGGATGCCCTCAGACCTCAGATTATGGGGTTTTGGTGGAGGAAGGGGGATGTGAGGATGTTTGAGGGAGCCTGTAATGATTTATGAAGTTCTTTCCTTATGAGTAGCTGGGATCTACCCTCTCTGCATACAGGAAATGGCTCAGAATCGCTGCTGGCCCTTGGCCACTTAAGGAGGTGTGGAGCTCAGTAAGGAAAATGTGAAAATCCATCTCAGCACACTTCCAAGAATGGGGGTGGGGATGGGGTACATTTTCTCTTCCAAGCTGAAAGGTTCTAGAATCCTAAATGTTCTGCTGCTAGAAGCAAGATGAGCCTCTTTATTTATTTATTTATTTATTTATTGGGGGCGGGGTGCTCAGGAATCACGCTGGCGGTGCTTGGGAAGACCAAATAGGGTGCTGGAGATCAAATCCTTGTTGGTCTTGTGCAGGGCAAGCATCCTACCCAAGGCACTATCGGTCTGGCCTGAGTAAGGGTCTTTTATTCATCCCCCATATAGAGATAACCCCGAGTGACCTCTCCTCGACGCCTCTGATGGGGAGGAGATTCTATCTCCACTGGGCCGAGGGGAGGGTACTTTTCCCAGGGAGCGCTCCGGGGTTCCCTTTCGCCTCCACTTCCTAGAGACCAGACTCTGAAGCCATCGACAGACCTCTCGCCCAGAATAGGTTGGGGCTCCCAGAGTCGCTGCTCCAAAACCAGGGCGGGAGGAGGGGGGCTGACTCCCGGGCAGAGACGCCTCCTCCCTGGCTGCTAGAGCCCCGCGGGGAGAGTGCGGGCAGTGCCGAGGCGAGGCTGAAGCAAGAGGGCGTGGGTTTGCGCTGGCCTCTTCGGGTGAGTGTGGGCTGGGTGGGTGGACTGCCGGGCCGTGAGAGGTCAGCCCAGGAACGGTGAGAGTTAGTGGGGCGGGGCGTCCGGGCGCGCCGAGTGCGAGGAGCAGCCCCCCTCGGCAATCCAGAGGGGCTCAGAGCGCGCGCCGCTGGCGGAGACCCCGGTCGGCCCCCCGGAAGCGCCCCCTGGGCCGGGCGGTCTGCCCAGGTGCCCCAGACCCCCAGCTGTCCACGCCGTGCTGGGGCGGGGCGCGATCGGTTGCCGTGGCTCCAGGGGCGGTGGCCCCGCGCCTGCTCCAATCGCCGCCGGGCGCAGGGACCCGGGCGTGGACCAGTCCTGGAAAAGTTCGGCGGGTTCCGAGGGCGGGGCGGGGGGAGCCCAGGGACCCGGCCCCGCGGGACAGCGGGCGCACAGTCTCCGCAGGGGGCGTCGGAGCACGGAGGACTCTTCCAGACCTCGCCCGGCCGCCGCCCACCATGGAGCCCCTGGGGCTTCTCACCACCGGCGCCTCCTTCGTCGCCTTCCGAGGGCTGCACTGGGGGCTTCAGCTGCTGCCCACGCCAAAATCTGCTGCTCGGGACCCTTGGAAGTGGCGCAACATCTGTGTCTCGCTGGTGCACAGCCTGCTCACCGGGGCCGGGGCGCTGCTCGGGTGCGGGATTTAGAGGTTGGGGAGGCTCGGGGTGAGGGCGCCGAGGTAGGAGGCTGAACGCAGAAGGGCCCGGCGTGCGCCGGTAGTATCCGGGCATGGACGTGAGGGGGGGCGCACGCGCAACGGGAGGCGGGGAGCCGGAGCCGCAGGACCCTGACGCTGACCCCCATTTCCTTCAGGCTGTCACTCTACCCTCGGATGATTGCCGACCCGATTCGTGGCCACCCGCCTGGGGCCCTGGTGCTGGTGGCTGTATCTGTAGGTAAGTCTGCAGGGAAAAGTCTGGACTCGTTTTGGGGGAGGGGACCACCTACCCAGGCAATTCCAGTCCCAGTCACTCTCCTCTGCCCTTGTTAAAGATTGGGGGAGGGCTGCCAGAGCGATAGGGTAGTGGATAGGGCGCTTGCATTGCACTCAGCTGACCCAGGTTTGATCCTCAGCATTGCATATGCTCCCCCGGCACTGCCAGGAGTAATTCCTGAGCAGAGAGACTGGAGTAACCCCTGAGCACCTCCGGGTGTGAACCAAAAACAAAAACACAACACAGACTTGGGGATCTTGGAGCTGGAGCATTAGTACAATGGGTTGGGCGCTTGCTTTGCATGAGGCTAACCCAGTTCAATCCTCCAAATCCCATGTGCTCCCTTGAGCACTGTCTCAGGAGTGTATGCCTGCATGCAGAGCCAGGAATAACCCCTGAGCATTGCCAAGTATGGCCCCCAAACTAAACAAAGATCGGGGCGGCCTTTTTTGACCTAAACTAAACCGAATAAGTAAATAAGCTAGTTAAATTAAATAAATAAGCCTTAACACCACTGTCGTCTTCTTGCCACCCCCAGGTTATTTCCTGGCTGATGGAGCTGACATTCTGTGGAACCAGACTTTGCGTCAGGCCTGGGATCTTCTCTGTCACCATCTGGTGGTGAGATTCTGGGGGAGGGGAGACTGAGAGGAAGGCATGTCTAGTGTGGGGCTCCCAATCCCAATCTCTCCTCCGCTGCCTGGCCTCGGGGATTCCAGAAACTCAGATCCCAACCCTGGGCTGAATTGGAGCCATAGGCTTGATTGCTGTTAGCACTGGGAGTGTGAGCACTGCCCACAAGGTCTGGATCTCCGCTTGTGACTAATGGCAGCAACGTTGAATATGGAGCTTTTCTGAGAAGGGGAAGAGGATGAATGATAATGAAAGGACGGGAAGTGGGGGATGGGACGGTGCAGCTGGGGGACTCAAGTGGAGACTCAGGTCCACCTCAGCACCACAGCAGCACCCAGCCTCGGGTCTGGTTGTTTTAAGGCCTTTCCGGTTCCCAGCATAATGATAAGCATAAAGGTTGGGTATTGGGGGGCTGTGTGTGCCATGTAGTGCTTTGGGTGGCCACACTTGGGCACTGCAATACTGGGACGTTATGGGCGGCAGGTGACAGAACACCCTTGACCCCTGACATCTGACCCTGGTCCTCCAGGTAGTCAGCTGCCTCAGCACCGCCATTCTGTCCAGTCACTACGTGGGCTTCTCTGCGGTGTCTCTGCTCCTGGAGCTGAACTCGGCCTGCCTGCACCTGCGGAAATTGCTGCTGCTTTCTCGAAAAGCCCCATCCCTGGCTTTCAGCATGGCCAGCTGGGCCACTCTGGTCACTCTAGTCCTCTTTCGCCTAGTGCCCCTAGGGTGGATGTGTCTGTGGCTGGCCCGGCAGCACCGAGAGGTGCCTCCTGCCCTGGTTGTCCTTGGTGTCGTGGGACTGTTCACTGTCGGGATCATGAGTATCGTACTGGGTGTCCGAATTCTGATCAGCGATGTCCTGAAGTCTCGACCTCACCTGTCCGTGTCCGGGCACAAGAAAATTCCAGGTATGGGGGCCTGTTGTGATGGTGAGCGTGTCGCCAGAGATGTGTCCGCTTTTAGCATGAGAGACTAGTGAGGAGCCTCAGGCATCTCCTCCTGCTGTCCTGGGGAGGTAAGAACCACACAAGAAGATGGGAGTCTCCAGTGCACAGTCCCCCATGGCTGATTGGATCTCCAGTATCTCAGTTCCTCTTCCAGTCAATTCCTCCCTCTCTCCCCTCTTCTGAGAGGATATGATGAGACTTTTGGGGAGCAGGGGTGCTTGGGCTCTTGGTGACACAATCCGGTCACCACATCACTGCCGTTTCCTGCAAACCAACTTGAGATACAACCAGTGCCGCCAACAAGAGTGGCAGGAAGTATGAAGCTGGATGAAACCACCAGTGGAAACAAACTATTTCATGTGGGGTCCAGGAGGAGGGCTTGGGTTATTTATACTCAATGCTGTTCAGGATTTACTTCTGGCTTTAAGCTTGGGGATCACCCCTGGCGGGGCTCAGGGGACCATATGGGGTGCCAGGAATTGAACTGGAATCAGCTGTGATCAAAGCTGTGATCAAGGCCTTGCCCACTCCTCTACTGTCTCTCCAGCCCAACTCTTAGAGCATGGACAGAAGAAGACAGGTGAGATGAGGAGCAGGGAGGGTCTGAGGGAGGAGTGACCTCTCTGACATTCTGGCCACTGGAAGCAGCCCCAGAGTGCTCCTTGTAGACAGGAGTGATGGACATAATAGTTGCCAAGGGCAAGAAGAACCTGGGCCCCAGCAATTGCTGCTGCTCTTTCCAGTTCTCAAAGCCCCACCATTGTGTTTGCATGTAGCTCCACTCCCATGGCCAGAATCAGCCTTTTTAGTGTTTTTAGTATATTGTGACCTTTTCAAAGGAAAATGCAGTTTCAGTTTTTGGAAGGTTGATGGTGAGGCCACACCCGTGGTGCTTAGGGACTAATCCCAGCTCTGTGCTCAAGAGTCCATTCTTGGCAGTGCTCAGGGAAACCATTTGTGGTGCTGGGGATTAAACTGGGGTCAACCTCCTGTGAGGCAAGTGCCTTAACTTCTATATGATCTCTAAAATGCAGCCCTGAAAATGCAGACTTTTTTGGGGGGTGGGGTTTGGGCCACATGCAACTGTGCTCAGGGCTATTTTCTGCCTCTGTGATCAGGGGAACATATGTGGTGCCAGGAATTCAACCAGTGTCCACCTCATGTGAGGCTGGTGCCTTGCGCCCTGTATTATCTCTCTAGCCTGTAAAATGCAGACTCTTCAAGGAGTGAGCTTGGAGCTGAGACAGTCTTCTTAGAACAATACTGAAATCCAGAGCTTTCGCAAGGCCTCGAACACCAGGTTCTAGGTGACAGGGCAGGGTCACCTCGACTCAGGCTCACAGGAGGGTGGGGACAGACATATAATGCAGGTTACGTTCTCAGGCTGCTGCAGGAGTAAGAATTATTTGACTTTGGGGCTGGAGCGATAGCACAGTGGGTAGGGCGTTTGCCTTGCACGCAGCTGACCTGGGTTCTATTCCCAGCATCCCATATGGTCCCCTCAGCACCGCCAGGAGTAATTTCTGAGTGCAGAGCCATGAGTAACCACTGAGCATCTCTGGATGTGACCCAAAAATCAAAAAAAAAAAGAAAAAAAAGAATTATTTGACTTTCCTGAGACTTGTTCAATTGTTTGCAAATTCCACCTTCCGCCTCCGCAACTACACAGTAGTACACCGAAAGATATAACTCCAAGTCCTTCTCAAAGAAAATACATGAGAAAAAGCAAGAGACAGGACGATGGGGGCCCCCAGACTACTCCTGGTGATTCTTGGCCCACCAGTTCGTGCAAGGTACAAGGATGTCGTTGCTGGTGGAAGCTCCCCTGGGTGACTTATGCGAAGTTGTGGGGAGGGAAGTAGCAGCCTCGAGAAGGAAATCTACCACTTTCTCTTTGTTCACCTGAGTCACTCTTAGGAAACCACCTGGGTGATTTAGGACTGGGGAAAATACTGCGGTGAGCCCCTGCATGGTACAGACGTAATGTCTCACCAGCCCCAGGGGGCAGCTGTCAAGTTGCACTTGAATCTACTTGTCCTGCTCGGCGTGGGCATGGGATATGGTCCCTGCCACCCAATTCCTTTTCTTCTTTTTCTTTTTTGTTTTTGGGCCACACCTAGGAGTGCTCAGGTTTTACTCCTGGCTCTGTGCTCAGTAATCACTCCTGGTGGGACTTGGGGGACCATATGGGGTGCTGGGGATCGAACCTTGATTTGGCTGTGTAAAAGGCAAGTGCCTTATCCACTGTACTATCTCTCTGCCCCCCCATCTTGGTTTTATTACATCCCAAGAACTCATTGCCAGGGACCTCCCTAACTATCTGCCTGCTTTGGTATAATGCTACTCATGCTCTATGCAGTGCTGGCAATTACCAGCTTACCCTGGCAGTGCTGGAGAGGGGGGGAAGGGTGACACCTCTAGGACTAGACCCAGTGGTGCCAGGGATCAAACTGAGGTTAGCTGCACCTCAAACCCCATACTATCTCCCTGGCTCTGAGATTTAAAAAAAAAAAATATATATATATATACATACTTCCTCCCAAAAATCTGAAATAGTGAACTAGAGAGAATTCAATAGACTGAATACATGTTTTGCATATGGCACCCCCAGTTAGATTCCTGGCACTGCATAATCCCCACCCCCAATATTGCAGAACAGCGACCTCAAGCATCCATGGGCATAACCCAGAAAACAAAACCAACTGAAATAGAACAAACAACATGATACAGAAATAGGTTGAAGAGCAAATAGAGACAAATATTTGTTGCATAGAAGAAGGAGTGGCAAAGAGATGGAGGGTGAGACACAGCATCCTTGGCAGAGAAACTAAGAGACTATGGGAGCTGCTAAGAGGAATCAAAATCATGTAATTGGTAAAATGATGATAAACAAGGAGGACAGAAAAAAATGGAAATGAAGCTAGCTGGAAGAGACCTCGAGGTGGAAAGCACTGTCTTACAGAAATAATGAGTGACAAGGAGTGCTGAGACTCGGGAGAGAAGGCGGCTTGAGGTAGATAGGGAGAGGAGAGAAATGGAGAGGAGGGTTAGCTTTGTCAAGGGAGCTGAGAAGCAGAAAAGCAGAAGGTGGAGGAGGCAGTTGATGGAAAGATTCATGGACATAAAAAGAAAGCTGGAAGCATGTTGAGAAGGAGATGTGCAGAAAAGCCAGGGACAAGCAGATGCAGAGCAAAACACAAAGACAGGTGGACAGCAGCTGGTCAGCAGAGACGGATGGCAGAGGTGAGGAAAAGGCAGAAGAAGGAATGTAAATGGAGATCAAGAATAGGCAATGGGGGGCTGGAGCAATAGCACAGCGGGTAGGGCATTTGCTTTGCACACGGCCGACCCGGGTTCCATTCCCAGCATCCCATATGGTCCCCTGAGCACTGCCAGGAGTTATTCCTGAGTGCAGAACCAGGAGTAACCCCTGAGCATCGCTGAGTGTGACCCAAAAAGAAAAAAAAAATAGGTAATGGGACTAAGCAGGAAAGGGAGAGTACCAGAGTATTAAATACCTAAAGTGGGGACCAAGAAACAAACAAACAAACAAATAGGGGGAAAAAACAGAGATAAAGCAAGATAAAAGGGGACGTGGCTCTGTGGTAGAACAGATGTTTTACATGTGTTGATCCTGGTATCATCAAGTGTCATCCCTGGCCCAGCCACAACAAAGAAATGACTGAGACAGAGAAGTAAATGATGTGGTCGGAGAGATAATATAGCAGATAAGGTGCTTGCCTTGCACACAGCTAATCAGGGTTCCGTTGCAGCATCCAATATAGTCCTGTGAGCACTGCCAAGAATAATTCCTCAGTGCAGAGACAGGAGTAACCCCTGAGCATAACAGAATATGCCCTCCCTCAGAACAAAAAAAAAGGAAAAAGAAATGAGAGAGGGAATTATAAGATATCCCCCTCACAAATTTTAAAATTTACTTGGAGGGGCTGGAGCAATAGCACAGCGGGTAGGGCGTTTGCCTTGCATGCAGCCGACCTGGGTTCTATTCCCAGCATCCCATATGGTCCCCTGAGCACCGCCAGGGGTAATTCCTGAGCGCAGAGCCAGGAGTAACCCCTATGTATTGCCGGGTGTGACCAAAAAGCAAAAAAAAAATAATAAAATAAAATTTACTTGGATAAGATATTCCCATCACAAATTTTAAAATTTACTTGGGGGTAGACAATCCCCATCAGTGCTCAGGGCTTAACTTACTCCTGGTTCTGGGCTCAGGTGTCACTCCTGGGAGAGCTCAGCAGTCCGTGTGTGGTGCCAGGGATCACACCCAGATCATCTGTGTGCAAGACAAGTGCCCTACCTGCTGCACTATCTGTCTGGCCCTGCCATCATAAAATCTTTTTGTTGTTGTTGTTTTTTGAGGTTTTATTTGGGGAGACATACCTGGCAGTGTTCAGAACTTAGTCCTCATTCTGAGTTCAGGGATCATTACTTGTGGGGCGCGGGGGACCATATGGGGTACCTACGCACTTGTACTCTCTCAAACAACTTTCTCTCCTGGTGTCCAGCTGACACTGCCTGAAGACAGGGATGAATTTTGATGTTATTGAGTAAGTTTGTCAGGGATGATGTGGCCCAGACATAGATGATGGGAATCAATAGAACTGATCTCAAGTTCTAGAAAACAGAATCACAAAAGGCAGAGATCGGCAATTGTTCATTTGATCCAATGGGGTGGATCCCCACGGAGTGCCGTGCTCCTTGAGACTACCCCTGAGTCTCCTGAGCTAGTGCCTGACTCCTGTTTCTCTTCTGGCAAACCAGACAGGCTTTCCTGGATGCAGGAAATTGGCATTTGATGGTCTCCGAACAGGCTCCCCATCAAAAATTAGTAAACTGCTATGCAAATGATTGCATCAGTCTTTTGTGAATGTGTTGTTCTGCAGTCTTTTTTTGGCTCCAGAGGTATCTTGGTTTATAATGCAGTGTGGGCTTGTGAAAGCTTTGCTTTGGAAAGGTGTTCTGTTGGCACAAAGGTTTTTGAACCACACCCAACTGTGCTCGGGGATTA